CCAGTGCGCCACCGGGCCGGCCCCCTGCCCTTGACTTCTAATCCCCTATTGCACCTAGGGCTTGCCCCTGTATACTCCCTCACCCCTTTACCTACTGTTACTCACCTCCACTTTCTGTTCACACCACGCCTTGAGCTTTAAGCTGTCTGCACCCACATGCACGTTATTGCTGGTTTCTAATGCCAGCCCTGGCCAGCTGCTTGCCTAGAGAGGAACTAACCTTTTCAAAGAAGCCCAGGGGTTATACAGTCTCCCTTAAGCCTTTGTTTCTATGGACAGAAAGTTCATGATGCAGATCCTAAATTTCTCTTAACTTGTCTTTGCCATTCTGGATTAAGGTGCTGATTATTGGGCACTTTCTAATAAGAATAGCTTGTTTACAAGTTTGCCCCACCAAAGCAAGACTGTTATTTATTCATAAACATTCCCATTAAAAAAAGATTTAATTAAAAAAAGATTTATTGGGCTGGCTTGGTGGCGCACTGCTGCAGTGCGCCGCTTGGGAGCGCGGCAGCGCTCCCACCGAGGGTTCGGATCCCACATACAGACCGGCCGCTCACTGGCTGAGCGAGGTGCGGGCGCAGCACCGAGGGTTGTGATCCCGTTGCCGGTCCTGGTCCGGTGCGGACACGACACTGAGGGTTGCGATCCGTTGCCGGTCACGAAAAAAGACAAAAAAGGAAAAAAAAAAAAAAGATTTATTTATTCATAAACACCCCCATTAAAAAAAGATTTAAGATATCTTATTGATTCACATATAGAACATAGAAAATAAGAGGAAAAAAGCTTAATAAGTTACATCTACATTTTCTTTTGGCTTAAATGACTCTTCATGTTAATATCTCCCAATAGGGCACATTTTCTGGGCTTGAAATGTTTTGTGGTTTTTCTTCTGCTTGTTCGATGAGGCACCCCAACTGTGTGTCTACAAGTTCCTGAAGAAATCAGAGTACAGAGATACAGATGCCAGATCTTTTCTTTAAGTTCTTTCCCCTTGTTTCCATCTGGTCTCTGTTTTTCTTCAAGCTGGCTTTTAAGGAGGTGTATCTAATCACCCATAATCTCAGGCTCGACAACAGCATAGGTCCACTGTGACCTTCTGAGTCTTTTCTGTCTTATTCATGCCTTGCTTGTCAGCCCCCGTCTTGAACTTTCGCATTACCCGGCTTTTCTTCATTGGCTAGTTTCCAACTTATTCCTGGTCAGTGTCCCAAATTGCCAAAGTCTTTTTGGATTCTAGGCCTGTATTTTGAGGCAGGAGCCCCGTTTCCCAATTTGGTGTTCTGCCAACGTATAGCACTTGCTCTTTATTTATCCATCTCAGTTACTAATGGAGACATGAAGGGTGTTTATCTGCCTTTCAGACCTCGTGGGTCCTGAAGGGAAAAAACTCTGTTCTTTCTACTAAAGCTTTTAGTGTGTAGTTCTCCTTTTCCTACTAAATTGTTTCCGTATGGAACAACCAGTCTGGGAGATGATTTCACCTCTTGTGATCTTTCCTGTGTCTTCCTTGAAGTGGGTAAGTTCCTCCTGGCTGTTATTGGTGTCTTGCTACCACCCCCTTCATCTCCCCCCCCCCCTTTTTTAATAGATCCCTAAATCACATCAAATTGTTTATTTTTCAAAACACTGGAGTTGCCTTTCAGCCCCAGATCATCAGCCAGCTCTTTCCAGTGAGTGAGGATCCAGTTATGAGAGGCAGCTGCTCATCTCCTGCACCCTCTGCCCCCCACCCCAGAGACATTTAGGATGACTTCTCGCTGGTGAATGTCAGCTGTTGTGGTTGTCTCGTAGGAATGGCATGTGTTAAGGACTTTGTGGTTTGTATCTGAGCAGTTAGGGGTTTCTTTGCGGGAGAAAAGAAGAGGGGGAGTTTTGCTTCTACAAACAAAGCCTGGTGCCTGGTCCCCTGGGTGAGTCTTGTCACTGGGGTAGATTCACAGGGGAGCAGGAATGGCAAGAATTTATAGGGCCACTGCTCCCAGGGGGTGGCTACCCCTCCAGGGGGTTCCACAGTAGCAGAAAATTCATTATATTTGGAGCTCACTTGTTAGTGTCTCATTTGTACCATCTGTATGAAAGTAAGCAGAAGCTGCGAGAAGAGCCTATCATTCCCAGAACAGAGGGGGTCTGGCTTCCATCTCCCAGAAATGGCTTAGGCAGGGAAACATACAGAAGCCGCTGGAGTGTTTTTCTTGGGGTCTACTGTGGGATGAATAGCCTGGAGGTGGAATTATGGTCTGATAATGATCATCTAAGCTTCCAGAAGCAGATCCTTACCCCACTCACTGAGGTTTGCTCTGCTATGAATTCGTTATCGTTTGTTCATTTGTTTATTACTTCAACAAGTATTTATTGATTACCCTTTCTGTGCCAGAAATGATGCTAGCCACTGGTGTCACCCAGATGACTGCCAGCCACCACTGCTGCTTGCCACCTGGAGTCACCCCTCCACTTGCCAAGTGGCCACATGGTTGGGCCCAGGCACACTTTTTTCACACAGGAATGGATCCTTGTACTGGCCCCTCTCCTGTTCTCCTTAGAGAAGGGCAGAGGGTGCGGCTCATCCATGGTGCCCTGGAGCAGCCTCCTGGTATGGAAGCCTACAGCCCTTTCTGCACTGCAGGCCCAGCTCCCAAGGGTGCAGGGGTGGCTCTCTTGCTGAGCCTGGACTCAGTCCAGCTCAGGGTGAGGGAGGGTCACAGCACACTGAGCATCCACATGTGAGGGATCTCAGGGGCTGTTTCTTTCTATGTCTGGGCTCCCACTCAAGCTGCCATGGGGTTCTAGGGTTATTCAGGGAACTCTCTGTACATGGATCTCTGTGGGACGCAGAGTAGAGGGGTCTCTGTGCAAGAGAATGATTCTCTACTGTGGCTCGTTTCTGTATGCCCATCATTAGAAGGTCATTCCTTCTGCTAAAGGCATCAACACCTCTTGGACCCCTGGAGGGGAAAGAAAAAGGGCAGGGTAGGAAAGCATTGGTTGTAAAATCCAGGGACCAGAAGTCTAGCTCTGGCTCTGTCCCTCTACCTGTGTGACCTGGGGAAAGTCATTTAACCTCTCTGAGCTTCAGTTTCCTCATGTGCAAAATGAGGATGTGGTTTAGATGAGCACAGGGCCTCCTCCAGCTCTAGGACTATAACTCCATGTGAATGAGTCTCAGATCCTTTTCTGAGATGGTCCAGGGGACAGTGGGTGCTAAGGAAGGAGAGACAGGATGTGGGGTGGGAAGGAGGGGCTGAGGGGACCAGATGTAGGAGGTGGAGTAGCAGGAGCACAGGTGAAAGAGCCTGGCGGCACCAGATACACACTTGGGTGCAAGGTGGGGAGCTGGGTGCAGGTGGCTCTGTGTACAGATGCAGCAGATGTGCTGAACAGGAAGTGGCCGGTCCACTGTTCACATGCACCTCTCTTTGAACAAAGTGATGTCCAGTGGGCGTCTTTGTGGCTTGAGGGTGCAAATTACTCACGTGTTTTTCTCCTTGGAGTGCAGAGCCTATTGTGATACAGACACAGGACTTGGATGGGGAACCAGATTTCACTTTTGAAAATGAAATAGTGGTGGGGGATGTGGCTCGCACTCATGGCCAAAATGGGATTCTTATGCCCCTCTTGAAATCCAGACCTGAGACCCTGAAAGGGGGCAGTTGGTTGTGGGTCACCCTCCAGGGTCACTCCTGTAGGAGGCAGCCCAAGAACAGTGTGGCCATATAGAGAAACATGGTCCGATGAACATCAGATCTCTTCTGTCTCACCAAATAGATCCCTGCCCATGGGAACAGACAGGTAAAGATGGAAGGATAAGCTGAAGATTTTCCCTCAGGGTTTCTAAGACAATGGTGGTTTTCATTTCATGGCCCTATGCAGAAAGGTGGGGCAAAAGGGGAATTATTTTCTTTACAGGACCGGAGTCCAGCAGTGGTTTTGTACTGAAGTGCTACTTACAAGGTTGCTTAGAAGCTAATCCTGTGCTCCATATTCCCAGTGTCTGCTGGCTCATAGTAGGTCAATAATTGGAAGGATGGATGGGTCAGAGCCCTTTGAGGGACTAGATGAGTCTGGCTTTATTGGCAGACAAGCTTTCTTCCCTGCCATCGGTGCTTTGAAATGACCATTTCTTACCCCTGAGCTTTCCCCAGTGAAGGGAAGGAAGAAATAAGAATTGCCTTGGTGTTGACCTGTCTCATTTATATCCTTCTTTCATGCCTGTATCTGTTTACCCTTGTACACCTTTTGGGTCTGGCAGAGCTGGAATACGTGTTTGCTCTGAGAGTGAAGGCTATGGAGGAGTTTTCTGGTACTGGGTTCCCCTGGGAAGGCACATGCTAATTAATTCATCTCCTTTGCCTCAATCTCTTCCTCATGCATAACACACACACACACACACACACACACACACACACACCTTTAAGTTAGATTTAACAAGTATGCAGAATAGGATGTGTGATTTGAGGGAGGCACCATGCCAGACCAAAAATAGCTTTCTCCTAAACGGGTGCGAAGGTGCTTGAGATCCCACCATTGTAATTCATTCTCTTCTGAGGAAGTATGTTATCTCTGAAATCCCAGCTCCACCAGTTTTAACTGTGTACCGCCTTGAGCAAGTCATCTTTCTAACCCTAGGCTTCTTTCTCTGTGTAATAGTCTTTGATCCAGTCTAGTGAGGCTGCTGGAAGGATTACCAGGGTGACTGGCACATAGCAAATGCTGAATAGATGTCAACTATGATTGGGTTAAGTGTTGCCTTAAAAAAAAAAAGGCAAACGCTCCTGGTAGTGCCGAGGATGACCTCGGTGCAAATTTATCAATCAAGTTTTTCTCTGTAACAGGAAGAACTTAAGGGCAGGAAGAGCACGTGGGTGTGGAAGGGATTTGGGGGGAACATTGGTAAAAGGAGGGACGGTCCTGGGGAGATGCTGGGCTTGCTCTCACCCCTCAAGCTGACCGTGCCTGTCCTGCTCTTCCCCGCCCGTTCCAGGCTGGCCTGCTGCTCCTCCTGCTATGATGCCTGGGCAGATCCCAGACCCTTCTGTGACCGCGGGCTCTCTGCCAGGGCTGGGCCCCCTGAGTGGACTCCCCAGCTCGGCTCTGACCGCGGAGGAGCTGAAATACGCCGACATCCGTAACATCGGGGCCATGATCGCCCCCTTGCACTTCCTGGAGGTGAAACTGGGCAAGAGACCCCAACCCGTGAAAAGTGAGGTGAGCGAGCCCTGGTGGCAGAATCCGGGGGGGGACACCTGGGTTAGAGTCCCAGGTCTCACCCTAAACTTGCCGTGTGACCTTAGCCTTGCTGTTCAAATGTGGTTTGAGGACCAGTGGTATCCGTGTCACCCCGAGGCTTGTTAGAAATGTGCAACCTCAGGCCCCACCCCAGACCTTCTGAATCAGAATCTGCACTTTAACAAGATCCCCAGGGATTCATGGACACATTCAAGTTTGAGATGCACTGGGCTAGGGCAGGATGCTTAACCTGTTTCTGGTTGTTCAAGGGGCAGGGGAAGACTGATAACAATAATAATGGATAAAAATATCTTGGAAATCTCTCTGGGGTGTTAATGGAAATGTACATGTTTTGAAAAGTGTACAAGGGGATGCCGATATTGGGCTCTCTTTAAAAATTATTATTATTAGTCATATCATTGCCTCCACCCCTCTTGACCCCAGTCTCGAGGGAACTTGGAAGGTGGGGGGTGTGGCCTCCCTTCCCAAGCAGCTGCCAGAGCTGGGCACAGCCTCAGTCACCAGCATCATCTGCCTGTGTGTGAGACAGTGTGTGCAAGGCACCCACCACGGAGCAGCCCCTCCTCAGGTCTCTTGCACCTACAGCTCTCACGAGCCTGACTTGCAGAAGAGCAGCTTTTCTTGAGGGACTGGTGAGAAATGGAAGTCCCCAGCGTGGCCGAGTATCAGTGCAGTGCATGCCCCCAGTCACTTGCCCAGGGCTGGCAATTTATCCAAAGGCCTCCTCGGTGAGGTCCCCAGCAGGGCCATTTCTTCAGAGGCCTGACAGAGTATCTGACCCCTAGAGGAGAGAAGGAGCCAGAGGTGGGAGGTGGAGAGGAGGCTGGCATGGGGAGGGCATGGGAAGCAGAGGAGTATTCACAGGTGGAGATGTGCCCAGAGCGGGGCTCAGGCACTAAGGTGGACCTGGGGAGGAGATCAGCCTCTACGTGGATCTCTGAGGGCTGGAAGGGCTGGAGGGAGGGACTCTTGGATGGAGAAAGGTGTTTGGGTACCAGCAGGGGAGGGGTGGGGATATGATGCAACTGCTGCTCAGCTCCCCCTCTCCCCACGTGTACCATAGAAACTGCAAAAGTGGCTGGCTGGTTAGCTCAGTTGGTTAGAGCACAGTGATGCAACACTAAGATCAAGGGTTCGGATCCCTGCACTGGCCAGCTGCCAAAAAAAAAAAAAAAAAAAAAAAAAA